AAAATGTTGAACTTTTGTGGTGGAGGTACCAGTAGACCGCACTCGATCTAAGTTTGGCAATAATACTACGATGTACCAGGTTTTGGACCACATCAAACATTCCCTTCGAGTGTTATCGAGCGCATCAGCCACACAAAGAGACAGACGGACGGACATCCCTAGATCGACTCCAAATGTCTTAAGACGGATTTGGTCCAAAGAGTCCTAGGGTCCAAAACCGTTATTTCGATGAGGCACGTTTTGGGTGTATCAATTTTATATCCCCTTTGTAGTCATCTGGTAGACGGTGTAAAAATGGGATAAATGCATCTTTTAATTTTCTATGATTTGAAACCTTCAGCAAATATTTTCTACCGAATCCCCTATAACCAGACATTTTGGGTTTATCCAAAAACTCTTTTCATTAGCCCTATTTTCAATATGGTCTCCATATTCAAAAACATAAAAGCTAATTCTCCAGCACTAAACAGTATCCCGAGATATATTTTTGTATAATTGCTATAAAATAATCCTAAAACAGCAGTCTTAAATTAGGGAAACCCTGAATTTATCTGTAATATATATTTTTTTTCTTTTGGTCACATTCCCAATAATTCCTATTTATCACTCTAAGTTTGTGAATTCTGTAGAAAGAAATAAAAAAAGATTTTAAGAATACTTAGGGCAATTTGGAACTACCAATATGTATTTTCTTTTTCTTATAATTTGACTACAGCAAAAAAGAAAATGCTTGAATCAAATGAATCCGAATTGCAACCTCCCCAACGATGAACAAAAAACAAAGCCCTCAAAGAAATTTAAAAAACCTAAATTTCTTAGGAATACTTTTACAATCTATAATGGCATGTTCCATTGCATTGCATTGTATAGGTATTTCGCTTTTTTGTTTTTTGTTCACATTTCACTTGTCTTCTTTGGACCGTTGCGAATTTGTCATACAAATTGTCCGGGCGTAAAAGAATTCCAATAAGCTCATTGTTGTTAACTGATTGTAGATGTGCACTCCAATGAATGTTAATTAACGAGGACGAAGTTTTTTGTGTCTCTTCACTTTGTCATTTCTATTAACACCTCAATTTCCGTTTCTCTACTGACAGCTATTGAAAAGAACGAAATAAAAAATTCTGAAAAATAGAAATTTAATTGAAAATCTCTAAAGCAGGGAAAATGTATTGCTAGGGAATTTAGAACTTAGACAAAAGAAAAACGGCGATACCTCGAGTGTTTTGAATGGACATCATTCATATATTTTGGAGTCATAGACTCTATACAGCAATAGGTCCTTTGCTTCCAAGTGTGTATCTATTTGTCTATATATGGAGGGTTTATTGTTCTCCTAATTGATGCCCACAAGTTGGCTACAATGAGTCACAATATGAAAACACATAAAAGACGTGTTGTCTAAATAGTATTCGGAAAATTACCCCACTGGAGCTAAGTATTTTTAGGTCAAAATCTTCAATAAACAAGTTAAAAATTATTAGCCGATCTTGCCGACGGATGTATACCACCAGCCTATGTTCGAGTATTAAAATAAATTTAGTCTTCTGTTATGATTATTCACATTGTTGACCCTCTATGACGTAGGTTCCGAAGGATCGGGCCAATATTATTCATTTCATACCGGATCTAAATAAATATGATATAAATATTGCAACATGCCAAAGTTTGGACTATACCGACTAATTCCTTCACCTTATATGAGATATATGATAAAATGTGCGCAAGGTTGCAGACATAGTCGACAGAAGTATTCCATTTTCATACTTCATCTAAGATAAACAATATTGGAATGGGCATAATTACAAGAAAAGCGAATAGTTATAACCAATTTTGTGCGAAATCATAAGTTCCATATTTAACTCTGGTGTCTGGTTGAGGAAAATATTTAGATATAGCAAAGAATCACTGACTATTTTCTCAAGTTATGACAGATAAAAGTATTGAAAATTTTGCCACTTTGTTGGTGAGGTACCAGAAGGGATTCGCAGATATATAGCATCTTCACAAAAAGATCTTGTATTAGCAAAAATTTTTCTATTTGTGCAATTTGAAGAGAGCGTTATGTTTTTCAAAATTTTGAACCCTATGTGGGGCAGTTAGCAAATGAAATGGTGGCTTTATAACAGATCTTGTGTTGATGGAAATATTGAGATGTACCATATCTGGAATGGAATCGGATGTTGATTTCGCTTTTAATGAACTTCACGGATATTCAAAATTTTGAGCGTTTTTGGGGGAGGTCCAAGAAGGAGTGGACCGTCTTACTGCCAGATCTTGGGTTCATACAAATAGTAAGGTGTGTGAAATTTGAAGACAATCGGACTCTTACACCATATATTTTAAGAGTTATAATTATTTAAAATGTTGACCCTTTGTGGTAAAGGGATTTGATGGAGCGGACCAATACTATCCATTTTGGCACGGGACCTAGAACTGACGCAAATGTTAGGATTTGCAAAGTTGGAGCAAAATCGGATTATCGTTACTCTTTCTGTGCAAAAAATATATATATTTTTTGAAAATTTCGATCTTTTGTGGGGAGGTACCAGAAGGAGTGGACCGATATTGTCCATCTTAACACCAGACCTTGAGTTAACATATAAATTGGTACTTGTGAAATTTGAAGACAATCGGACTCTTACATCACATTTTATGAGAGTTGTAATTATTGAAAATATTGACCATTTGTGGAGGAGGTACTTGATGTAGTGGACCGATATTGGCCATTTTCACACCTGACCTAGCACTGATGCAGAAATTAGGATATGCAAAGTTAGAGCAAATTCGGATTATCCTTTCTCTCTATGTGCATTAAATATATTTTTTTGAAAATTTCGATTTTTTGTGGGGTAGGTACCAGAAGGAGTGTACTGATATTGCCCATCTCCGAACTCGATCTAACCAAATCGCATACTCCCTTCGAGTATTATCGTGCGCACGAGCCAGGCAGACAGAGAGATAGACGGACATCGCTAGATCGACTCCAAATACCCGAAGGGACCTAGGGTCTAAACCCATGATTCCAATAAGGCACGTTTTGGCCGTCATATCAAATTATATATACCCTTTCTAGCCATATGGCTTAGGGTATAAAAATAAAAAAAGGAATGTTCTTCCTAGGTTTTCTATAAACAGAAACTTTATAGAAGGATATATTTTAAGAGGCCTCTATAGAAATTTTCTATGGGAAATGACTTCAACGACGGGTATTAAATTTTTTAAATTTTTCTATATAGAGAAGGCCTTTTCAGGTATACTATAGAAAAGGGGTTTTATAATAAGATGATCTGTGAAAAATCTTCTATGTAGGGAAGTCTTTCATTAATAGAACACATTTAACAATGCTCCTAGAAGAAGGCTTTGAAGAGTTACTCCATATAAACAATTCCTTCATCGGTTATTCAATTTAGAAGTCTTCCTTATGCACGATTTTCGATTTGTCTTGTTTTCCTAGAAAACGTGTTAAAAGCATCCCACCCCACAGACAATATTTTCAAGGCAAACTCATCAAAGAAGTCTTGTTTAAAGTCTCACACACATTTGACAATGCTCCTTGAGACAAAGCTTTGAAGAGCCTCTTCACATGGACAATACCTTTATCGGCTATTCAATTTAGAAGTCCTCTTTATGCACAATATTTTCGAGGTTATCTCTGTAAAGAAGGCCTATGGAGAAGGATAGAATATTCCTTGGAAAGTTTTTTTTTTCGAAGAAGGTTTTCCTCAAAGGAATGTGCTTTAATAGGACATCTAAAGAGAGAGAGAGAGAGAGAGAGAGAGAGAGAGAGAGAGAGAAATATAGACCTGCTCTCAATAAAAGACATTTTAGAAGGTTTTTCGCCACAGAAGACGTTTTGAAATTCACTCACCTCATGGACAAAATTTTCAAGCAATCTCTTCAAATAATCCATATTAAAGGTGTTCTCTCCGTAGAAATCCTTCTAAAAGATGTCTTCTTTTGGTCCATCGGATAAAGATTTTCTCTTCATAGAACCCCCTGTTAATTATCTTCCCCCAAAGAAAATCTGCTAAAGGTCATCTCTCCCAATACCATTATCAGTTCTCGTATCCTTTAAAAAGCTACTAAAGATCTTTTTTGTAGTGATGATCGATTAAAGGTTTTCTCTCCATAGAAGACCTGTTATGTGTCTTATCTTTATAGAATACCAATTATAGATCTCGTACTCATTACGAAGCTGCTAAAGATCGATCCCCTAAAGGTATTCTCTCCATTGCCGATCGGTTAAAGGGGGTTTTACCAATAAAATACCTGTTATGTGTGTTCTCTCAATTGAATGCACTTACTCTTCATTCAGGACTTGCAGAAAAGTTGCAAATTGTATTCTTTATACATATAGAAACTTGAAAGTGTCTTATCACAATAGGAGACCTGCAAATGGTCTCCTTCCCCAAAAGTCTTATAGAAAGCGTTGTCTCTATAAAGACCTATTGTGCTCTTCTCTACATGGAATCTACGAAGTTAAAACCTGTTATGGTTCTACTCTCCATAGAGGATATTTTAGAAACCTCCCCTCCATGTCCTCTCAAAAGAAAAGATTTATCTCCGTGGAAGATATGTTAACTATCTTCTCACCATAAAATACCTGTAAAAGGTCTTCTCTCCGTAAAATACCTATACATTTTCTCCCATTTTTAAGTCCATTGTAAAAGGATATACAGGACTTCTATTACATAACATTTTAATAGGTATGTTGTTTTTAATTATAATTATATTTAAGAGACTCAGAGAACTCTTTTCATATGCTACAAATTTGATGTGGTCATATTTTTTTAATCCCTATTAATCCCTTCATTCCGAAATCCTTAAAATATCTTTTAAAAAAATTCCCTGCAAATATTTATTCTTTTACCAAATTTCTAATATCATCAGATATTAGGCTTCCTGATAATTCTCCTACTCTCAACTTCAATTAACTTTCCCTACAACGTTTCGATAAAATTAAAAATAAACCATCCCTTTTTTATCACTTCTTGCAGTACTGCCAACATCAGCAGCAGCGGTAATCTCCAGAAATGAATCAATTTCCTTTATGACCCTGCAAACAAAGGCAATGTTGCTGGTCTCCTCCTCCCTCTTATCGACGACGACAACAACAAGCGTGGCAACAAACGCGACGACTAATACCACTTCATTTGTTTCAAGTGCAGACCAACAACTCCGCAACCAAACAAATTTACCACAACTGCCGTTATCCACATTACAACAACAGCAGCAGCACCAACAACAAACTTTAGAAAATCCCTTACAAATCCTGGAGAACAACAACATCAACAACCCACCTTCGAACAGCGAAAAAGTGAATGTCGCAGCACCCAATACTACCAAGATTGGCATCACTGGCACCCAACCAAAGGCCGAAGATCAAATACTTCTTATGGCTCCCAAACAGAAGCGCCAACAACGGGGTCATCAGTTGCCACAATATTTAACATCGACTCAAGGAACCTCATTCGTTGTGAATGCAACAGCCACATTCGATGGCGTCCACAAGAACGCCTTCCAAGCCACATCGATGGTGGGCGGACGTTTAATTGTGCCCATGGACGATGATGACACCCAAACACAGCAGACCCACCATCAGCATCAGCAACCGCCGCCATTGCCTTTTAATCGCTCGCAGGGTGGTACGGGTGGCGGTGCGAGTTTTGGTGGTTCGCTGGGTATTAACAGCGGCGGCAGTATATCGGAGGATTTCAATGAGCTGATGCCATTTTCTGCGAAGCGTAACACAATGCCCGTTTTTGACTATGGCATGCCACAAAATATTACAGCGCGAACGGGTCACATGGAGGCAGTGCTTAAATGTCGTGTCGACAGAATTGGCGATAAATCGGTAAGTAGAAGGAATTGCATTTGTTCGATGCGTGGGGGGATTTGTATTGTTTCCAATTGGGAATATTTGCGGGATTCGATACAACACAAGCTGTTGGTGGTAAAGGGGTTTATTGTCGGGTCATCCGAAAATGTTATCACGAAACAAAAATAGCATTTTTCTGGCCTTGATCATATGGCTACAAAGTATATATAGTATATATCATTTAATGCGAGCAAAACGCGCCACATCGCTATAACGTTTCAGGACATGTGAAGTCGATCTAGGAGTGTCCGCTTTCCGTCTGTCCGACTGGTGCGCACGATAACTCTCAAAGGGGGTATCCAATTTGATTCGAACTTGATACATGGTAATATTATTGTCAAACTTATATCAAGATCGGAGATGGACCACTTTTTCTGGTACCTCCCCACCTAAAAGGTCGAATATTTTCACTGAAAATAATTTTCTTTATAGAAGGTACAGGGTGAGATAAAAAAACTGGAACAAAATCAAACCCCATATGTTTACATTCAGTTTTTAATTTTCTTGAATGAAAGCAAAAATGTCGGAAATGGCATCAAATGTTAGAATCAGTTTAGATTTGTTTGAATTGGTTACCTTTAACACGAATTATGGCCTTCAAACGGCCAATGAAACCGTCACATGCTGCCCGCATGTTACTCTTCGGTATTTTGGCCCATTCCCGGCGAAGCGCTTGTTTGAGGTGATCGACCCTTTTTTTTTTTAAAGCCAACCTTGCGTTTCAAAATACTCCAGAAACAATAGTCCAACGGATTGATATCCGGAGATTTTGGTGGCCATTGTGCGCTGGAAATGAAGCGAGGAACCTCATTTTGTAACCACTCGTGGGTGGCGCGTGCTGAGTGCAATGGTGCTGAGTCCTGTTGGAATGTCCAAGGTCTACGGCCAACATGTTTGCGTGCCCATGGCTTTAATACATCCTCCTGAATATTTTTGCGATAATATTAGGCTTTTTTAATTGCCACGATCTATTTTCTTTCTATTGCGGTGTAAGTTCTTGCACTTTTTGGAATTCCAATGGCTTTACCCCGAGCTCATATGTCAATTTTTTGCCGGATGGAATATTGCGATATGTTGAGCTCACGAGCCATTTTTCGGCCACTGCGACGCGGGTTTCGATCAAGTCGCTTCTTTACTTTTCGAACCATTTTTGCTGATGTTGCTGTTTTCTTCCGTCCACTTCCTTGACGTCGGACTACGCTACCAGTATCACGGTAACGACCGATGGTACGACACACAAACGATTTATTCACATTTAAATTCTGAAGTGCTCTAACGATAGCCACTTGTGATTTTCCAGCCAAATATAAAGAAATCACACCATCACGCTTGAATTCCATAACGAATAATTTTTTTTTCTGGAAAATTCTCACCAAGGTTGTTTTATATGCTTGTAAGCAATATAATGAGTTGTCACTGGAATAATTTTAACAGCTGTCGGACGAGTGGCTTAAAAATGACAGCAGTCTGAAGTTGGTTGTAGTTTTTTTTTTTTTTTATCTCACCCTCTATATTTAGTTTAGGTATTAATATTTACATATTTTACAAATGATTTCGACTGATTTCTTATTAAATTTATTTATTTCAGGTTTCTTGGATACGAAAACGTGATTTACACATACTAACTGTGGGAAAAACTACGTATACTTCGGATAACCGGTTTCTGGTAAGTATTTAAAAAAAAATAATTATATAATTGATAATTGTTGCCTTGATACGCACTTTTTTGCCTTAACACATATAACATAATTGTTCAGAATTCTTATATACCAAGATTACTGGAAAATTCCATTATTCAATCCGATACGAAGACTTATTTATGGGTCTTCTGCTCTAAAAATTATTCCAAAAACCTTCTTGCCTGAAAGATATTTTTCAAGGACCTTCTGACATAAGAAGATTTTTTTAAAGGAACTTTTGGCCTATAAATATGGATTTTTAAATATTTTTAAAGAGCTTCTAATCTACAAACGTGGATTTTTTAAACCTTTTTTTTTTTTTTTGAAGGGCCTTCAGACTTATGAACGTGGATTTTTTAAACATATATTTTTTTGCAAGTACCTTCTGCCATATGAAGAGGATATTTTAATCATATTTTTTAAGGACCTTCTAACCTATGAACGTGAATTTTTTAAAAATATTTCTTCAAGGACTTTCAAACCTATGGACGTGTTTTTTTAAATATTCCTTCAAGGACTTTCAGACCTATGATCGTGGATTTTGTAAACATATTTTTTCAAGGACCTTATGACCCATTAAAGTTGATTTTTTAGACATATTTTCTCAAGGGCTTTCAGATCTATGAACGTGGATTTTTTAAACATATTTTTTCAATGGCCTATGAACTTGGATTTTTTAATATTTTTTTCAAGGACCTTCTGACCTATGAAAGTAGATTTTTAAATAAATTTTTTAAGGACATTCTGACCAATGAAAGTGAATTTTTTAAACATATTTTTCCAATGACCTTCTGACCTATCAACGTGGATTTCTTAAACATATTTTTTCAAGGACCTTCTTACCTATGAAAGTGGATTTTTTGAACATATTTTTTTAAAGGACCTTCTGACCTATAAACGTGGATTTTTTAAACATATTTTTTTAAGGATCTTCTGACATATAAACGTGGATTTTCCAAACATATTTTTTCAAGGACCTTCTGACCTATGAACGTGGATGTTTCAAAAAAATATTTTTTCAAGGACCTTCTGACCTATAAACCTGGATTTTTTAAACATATTTTTTCAAGGACCTTCTGTCCTATAAATGTGGATTTTTTAAACATATTTTTTCAAGGACCTTCAGACCTATGAACGTGGATTTTTCAAAAAAAAATATTTTTCAAGGACCTTCTGACAAATGAAAGTGGATTTTTTAAACATATTTTTTCAAGAGCTTCTGACCTATGAACGTGGATTTTTCAAAAATATATTTTTCAAGGACCTTCTGACCTATGAGTGTGGATTTTTCAAAAAAATATTTTTCAAGGACCTTCTGACCTATGAATGTGGATTTTTCACAAATATATTTTTCAAGGACCTTCTGACCTATGAGTGTGGATTTTTTAAAAATATATTTTTCAAGAACCTTCTGACCTAAAAATATATTTTTCAAGGACTTTCAAACCAATGAACGTGGATTTTTTAAAAATAATTTTTCAAGGAGCTTCTGACCTATTGACTAAGATCTTTTAAACATATTTTTCCAACGAAATTCTTGCATATTAACGTGGATTTCTCAAACATATTTTTTCAAGGACCTCTGGCCTATAAACGTGCATTTTTTAAACATATTTTTTCAAGGGCCTATGAACGTGAAGTTTTTAAACATATTTTTTTAACGACCTTCTGACATATGAACTTGGTTTTTTTGAACATATTTTTTAAGGACCTTGTGACCAATGAGCGCTTATTTTTTAAACATATTTTTTCAAGGACCTTCTGACCTATGAAAGTGGATTTTTTTTAATATATTTTTTCAAGGACTTTCAGACCTATGAACGTGGATTTTTAAAAATATTTTTTCAAGGACTTTCATGAACATGGATTTTTTAAACATATTTTTTTCAAGGACCTTCTGACCTATCACCTTGGATTTTTTAAACATATTTTTTCAAGGACCTTCTGACCTATCACCTTGGATTTTTTAAACATATTTTTTCAAGGACCTTCTGACCTATATATATGTGGATTTTTTATATATTATTTTCAAGGATCTCTGGCCCATAAACGTGGATTTTGTAAATATATTTTTTCAAGAACTTTCAGACCTACGAACGTGGATTTTTTAAACATATTCCAATTGCTTTAGTATTCCAATTACTTTAAAATGTCATATTTATCTCAAAAGGCTGACAGATCAAATGTTTTTTGCCGTCTCGCGATGTTTATATTTGCACTCCGATTGGCGAATGCCGTTGTTTTTTATTATTCTCTCATTAATGAGGGTAATTTATATGTCATTGGTTATGCAACACCTGCATCCCGTTACAATTTGAGAGCCACTTTAAACTTTCAATATTTATTCCCAGAATTGTTTACCATTAAAAGCAGATGCGTAACCAAGCAAAACGCTTACAACGCAGTCGAGGAATAACTTTGATAATTCCAACGTTATTGGCAATTATTGTGTGTCACAAATGCAGCTACAATCGTCAATGACATTGCCACTGATGATGACGACGACAATTATTCGAGGACCCAATGGCTATATGGTCATGGAGCAGCAAGTACAAGTGCCTGTGTGTGGCTGTTCAGTCGGCGGCTCTACGCGCAAATTAACAACAAAGTCAAAAAGCGAATGAAATTTTATGGCAAAATAAAAATAATCATACCCTCACAAAGGGGCCTACTTTAATTCTGATTTTGATTCGCAGACGTCAGTTGTTGTCTTATTTTTGCTTTTTTAAAACCATAACATTTTATGATTATTTTTATGATTGTAAAAAAGTGTAAATATATTTATATATACACATATCTACACAGGATGATTTAAATTTTAAATGACTGAGTCTGTGTGTGAATGCTGCCAACTAACGTTGATTGTTTTCTGTTGTTTTTTTACCCTAGGTGACAGAATCCAAGGATTCACGTGAATGGACGCTCCATGTAAAATCCCCCCAAGTACGTGACAGTGGAATTTACGAATGCCAAGTGAATACCGAACCGAAAATGTCGATGGCATTTCAGCTGAATATTATTGGTAAGTAAATTTGAGACTTTCACACAATTTGCATATGAAATTCATCAGAACTGAGGACGGGGAGGTATCGCCAGCAAAATATTTATTATATATTTTTATTTATTTTTGAGTTCCTACAATAAAATCTACATCAATAACCTATTTCAAAAGGATGCAGCATTGCTGGCAGTAAAATTGGTCCACGAATAAATTGAAATCGTATCAATCACAAAAAATAATAATAAAATAAAAAAAGTCATAAAGTGGTGATCGGACACAACGTCGGGCAACCAAGCATCAGGAGGGTGTTGAAAATTATATTTCGGATTTGGAAAGGGGAACACAATATATTCGGAAAGAAAAAAGTTTCCTTCGAAATGAGAAACACAAGACCACTAGACATGGATTTTTTTAAATATGAAGGACCTTTGTGGATTTTTTTAATGATTTTTTTTTCAAGGTCCTTCTGGCCTATAAACGTGGATTTTCTAAATAGATTTTTTCAAGGATCATCCAAGCTATAAACGTGGATTTTTTAAATAGATTTTTTCAAGGATCATCCAAGCTATAAACGTGGATTTTTTAAATAGATTTTTTTAATGATAATTCAAGATGTAAACGTGGACTTTTTAAATTGATTTTTTTCATGGATCTTTAAAGGACCTTCTGGTCTATAAACGTGGATTTTTTAAATAGATTTGTTTTGAGAACCTTCTAGTCTATAAACGTGGATTTTTTAAATAGATTTGTTTCGAGGACCTTCTGGTCCATAAACGTGGGTTGTTTAAATAGATTTGTTTCGAGGACCTTCGGGTCTTTAAACGTGTTTTTTTAAATAGATTTGTTTCGAGGATCATTCAAGCTGTAAACGTTGAATTTATAAATAGATTTGTTTCGAGGACCTTCTGGTCTATAAATTAGGATTTTTTAATTAGATTTTTTTTCGAGCACCTTCTGGTCTATAAACGAGGATTTTTTAAGTAAATTTTTTCGACGACCTTCTGGTCTATAAGCTAGGATTTTTTAATTAGATTTTTTTTCGAGCACCTTCTGGTCTATAAACGTGGAATTTTTAAATACATTTTTTCAAGGATCATCCTAGCTGTAAACGTGGATTTTTTAAATTGATTTTTTTCATGGATCTTTAAAGGACCTTCTGGTCCATAAACGTGGGTTTTTTTAAATAGATTTGTTTCGAGGACCTTCTGGTCCATAAACGTGGGTTTTTTTAAATAGATTTGTTTCGAGGAACTTCTGGTCCATAAACGTGGTTTTTTTTAAATAGATTTGTTTCAAGGACCTTCTGGTCCATAAACGTGGGTTTTTTAAATAGATTTGTTTCGAGGACCTTCGGGTCTTTAAACGTGTTTTTTTTTTTAATAGATTTGTTTCGAGGATCAACGTTGAATTTATAAAAACGTTGAATTTATAAAAAGATTTGTTTCGAGGACCTTCTGGTCTATAAACTAGGATTTTTTAAATAGATTTGTTTCGACGACCTTCTGGTCTATAAACGAGACTTTTTTAAATAGATTTGTTTCGGGGACCTTCCGGTCTTTAAACGTGGCTTTTTAAATAGATTTGTTTCGAGGACCTTCTGGCCTATAAACGGGGATTTTTTAAATAGATTTTTTCGAGGACCATCTGGTCTACAAACGTGGAATTTTTAAATAGATTTTTTCAAGGATCATCCAAGCTGTAAACGTGGATTTTTTAAATTGATTTTTTTCATGGATCTTCCAAGCTATAAAGGTGGAATTTTTAAATAGATTTGTTTCCAGGACCTTCTGGTCTATAAACATGGATTTTTTAAATAGATTTGTTTCGAGGACCTTCTGGTCTATAAACGAGACTTTTTTAAATAGATTTGTTTCGGGGACCTTCTGGTATTTAAACGTGGCTTTTTAAATAGATTTGTTTCGAGGACCTTCTGGTCTATAAACGTGGATTTTTTAAATAGATTTGTTTCGAGGATCATCCAAGCTGTAAATGTTGAATTTATAAATAGATTTGTTTCGGGGACCTTCTGGTCTATAAACGAGGATTTTTTAAATAGATTTTTTTCGAGGACTTCTGGTCTATAAACTTGGAATTTTTAAATAGATTTTTTCAAGGATCATCCAAGGTGTAAACGTGGAATTTATAAATAAATATGTTTCGAGGACCTTCTGGTCTATAAACGTGGATTTTTTAAATAAATTTTTCGAGGACCTCATGGTCTATAAATGAGGATTTTTTAAATAAATTTTTTCGAAGACCTTCTGGTCTATAAACGTGGAATTTTTAAATAGATTTTTTCAAGGATCATCCAAGTTGTAAACGTGGATTTTTTAAATTGATTTTTTTTCATGGATCTTTAAAGGACCTTCTGGTCCATAAACGTGGATTTTTTTTAAAATAGATTTGTTTCGAGGACCTTCGGGTCTTTAAACGTATTTTTATACCCTACAACACTATGTGTTGGGGGTATTATAAGTTTGATTGGGCCAAAAATTATGTAACACCTCGAAATATTGGTTTCCCACATAGGAAAGTATATATGGATCTTCCTAGCTCGCCGAGCTGAGTCGATCAAGCTATGTATGTCCGTCTGTCCGTCTGTCCGTCTGTCCATGTTAATTTGTAATCACTCTACAGGTCGCAATTATGGCCCGATCTTCACGAAATTTAGAATGTAGGTGGGGCTTGGACCAGAATAGAACCCTATTGCTTTTAGAGATGATCGCCAAATGTTTAGGGGTTGAAATGGACCAAATACTGAAAAAATGTCGGATTTTGCAGTAGCTATACAGGTCGCAATTATAGACCAATCGACGCGGAATTTCGCATGTAGCTAGAGTTTAGGGCGGGGAAGAAGCCTACCAATTTGGGTGGTCATCGGATAATATTTAGCGGGTAAAATAGACCATATCTTTTGTGTTGAAAAAATTCAAAATTTTTCATTAAACCGCGAATATTTTAAATCCCGGCGAAATCAAAAAGCCATCACAAGGTTACTTCTGACCTTTACATTGATGTTAACATCCAAAAAATCGGATATATAGCAAAATATGTGCGATATATATGTCTATGAAAGAAGATATGCTTGAAAGATCTCTTATATGTCGAGAACGGCTGAACTGATTTCGACAGTTCTCATTAATTCAGAATGGCCTCTTGGCAGGAAAGAAAAAACGTCTAAAAAAATCGCATAAAAATATCTCTCTAAGATGAAAATATTGATTTTGTAAAATTTTCTCATATTTTTTCAATTTTGTCATATTTTTGGCATATTTTCATTTTGAATTAAACATTTGGTCATATTTCTACAGCTAACAAAACTAAGTAGTTAGGATATCAGGATATCATATACAGATCGCATTTATGGCCCGATCGTTACGAAATTTTGCATGGGGATAAGATGAGGGTCAGAATAGAAGCCTACTCTTTTTTGGAGATGATCGCAATATATTTAGGGGGTTGAAATGGACCAAAAAAAAAAATACAAAATTGTCAGCAGGTCGTAATTATCGCCCGATCATCACGCACATTTAAATGGGGGTTACCGGACATTGCAAAAGCCAAGCAGTTTTGGATGGCCATCCAAAAATATTCAATGTGTGAAGGAGTTTGCCAACTTTTATAGACAAAATACGAAAATGTCAATTCCAGTGACTTTTTGGAGAATTCACATACAGGAAAGACGCACTTCCGACTATTTCGTTAACGCTGATTTCGTTGAAGAATATAGTCAAATGTCGGTATCTCATATAGATGCGTTTCAGTCAAAACCCATTAATAAATGTTAATCTTTTGCCACTTCTGAGAGGTTATAGGTCTTTGGGAAATATTGGTTCCAGATCTAGGAAGGCCATTTACGAGCAACATCTACCAATAAATTGAAAATGAGCAAATTAGTTAATGTTGATATTATTATTTCTTTTATTATTTGTCACAATATCTTGTGGAATTCTTCCGAGTATCTCGCCTATATAAACTGTATCGTTTATTATAGTGTTGTAGGGTATTCAACGGTCGGCCCCGCCCGACTGTAGCCTTTGCTTACTTGTTTTTAGTAGATTTATTTCGAGGACCTTCTGGCCTATAAACGGGGATTTTTTAAATAGATTTTTTCGAGGACCATCTGGTCTACAAACGTGGAATTTTTAAATAGATTTTTTCAAGGATCATCCAAGCTGTAAACGTGGATTTTTTAAATTGATTTTTTTCATGGATCTTCCAAGCTATAAAGGTGGAATTTTTAAATAGATTTGTTTCCAGGACCTTCTGGTCTATAAACATGGATTTTTTAAATAGATTTGTTTCGAGGACCTTCTGGTCTATAAACGAGACTTTTTTAAATAGATTTGTTTCGAGGACCTTCTGGCCTATAAACGGGGATTTTTTAAATAGATTTTTTCGAGGACCATCTGGTCTACAAACGTGGAATTTTTAAATAGATTTTTTCAAGGATCATCCAAGCTTTAAACGTTGAATTTATAAAAAGATTTGTTTCGAGGACCTTCTGGTCTATAAACTAGGATTTTTTAAATAGATTTTTTTCGAGGACCTTCTGGTCTATAAACGAGGATTTTTTCAATAGATCTTTTCGAGGACCTTCTGGTCTATAAACGTGGAATTTTTAAAAAGATTTTTTCAAGGATCATCCAAGCTGTAAACGTGGATTTTTTAAATTGATTTTTTTCATGGATCTTCCAAGCTATAAAGGTGGAATTTTTAAATAGATTTGTTTCCAGGACCTTCTGGTCTATAAACATGGATTTTTTAAATAGATTTGTTTCGAAGACCTTCTGGTCTATGAACGAGACTTTTTTAAATAGATTTGTTTCGGGGAACTTCGGGTCTTTAAACGTGGCTTTTTAAATAGATTTTTTCAAGGATCATCCAAGCTGTAAATGTTGAATTTATAAATAGATTTGTTTCGAGGACCTTCTGGTCTATAAACGAGGATTTTTTAAATAGATTTTTTTCGAGGACCTTCTGGTCTATAAACGTGGATTTTTTAAATAGATTTTTTCAAGGATTTTCTGACTTATAAACGTGAATTTTTTAAATAGATTTTTCAAGGATCATCCCAACCAAAAACGTGGATTTTTTAAATAGATTTTTTCAAGGATTTTCTGAATTTTTTAAATAGATTTTTCAAGGATCATCCCAACCAAAAACGTGGATTTTTTAAATAGATTTTTTCAAGGATTTTCTGAATTTTTTAAATAGATTTTTCAAGGATCATCCCAACCAAAAACGTGGATTTTTTAAATAGATTTTTTCAAGGAACATTTAAGCTATAAACGTGGATTTTTTAAATAGATTTTTTCAAGGATTTTCTGACTTATAAGCGTGGATTTTTTAAATAGATTTTTTCAAGGATTTTCTGACTTATAAACGTGAATTTTTTAAATAGATTTTTCAAGGATCATCCCAACCAAAAACGTGGATTTTTTAAATAGATTTTTTCAAGGATCATTTAAGCTATAAACGTGGATTTTTTAAATAGATTTTTTCAAGGATTTTCTGACTTATAAGCGTGGATTTTTTAAATAGATTTTTTCAAGGATTTTCTGACTTATAAACGTGGATTTTTTAAATAGATTTTTCAAGGATCATCCAAACCAAAAACGTGGATTTTTTAAATAGATTTTTTCAAGGATCATTTAAGCTATAAACGTGGATTTTTTTAAATATTTTTTTTCAAGGATCATTTAAGCTATAAACGTGGATTTTTTTAAATAATTTTTTCAAGGATCATTCAAGCTATAAACCTGAATTTTTTAAATAGATTTTTTTTAAGGATCATTCAAGCTATAATCGTGGATTTTTTAAATAGATTTTTGCAAGGACCTTAGGGCACATAAATGTGGACTTTTTAATAGATTTTTTCCAAGGACCTTCCAAGCTATAAGCGAGAATTCTTTAAGAATATTTTTAGCTATAATCGTGGATTTTTTATTGAATATATTTTCGTGCTAAAAAATTTTGATTTTCTTAATAGTTTTCTTCAAAAACCTTCCAAGGAACTTTCAAACTATAAATAAAAATTTTTAAATAGATTTTTTTCGAGGACCTGCTTGTCTATAAACGTGAATTTTTTGAAATAGATTTTTTGAAGGACCTTTTCGCCTATATTCTTCTATTTTTAAATAACTTTCTTCAAGGACCTTCTCCTCTATAATTTTGGATTTTTAAAATAATTTTTTTAAAGAACATTTTGGCCTATTAATTTGGATTTTTAAATAGAGCTTCTAAGGAGTTTCTGGCCCATAGCCCTTAGGACCTTCTGACCTATAAAAGTTGATTTTTTAAATAGATTTTTCTCAAGGACCAAACGAGCTATATCCTTCAATTTTTGAAAGATTTTAGAAGCAATTAAATAGTATTTTTTAGAATATTTTTTCAAGAAAAGGGATATGTGTTTTTGAAGGCCTTGTTCTATTGGTCCTATGAAAAAATTTTGGATTTTTGAACGATTTTTTCAAGTACTAGAGGTCAAACATCAAGAATTTTTAATAAAAGTACATAGAGACGAATAATTCAGATTTTTTTGTATATTTTGTAAAGTACTTTTTTTTCTAGGATTAATAGACCAGAATATATTTTTTTTTTTAGTACACGTTTTAAGGTTTCAGGGTCCAACAGACCAAATGCCTAGAACTTTAAGGAAATATATGAAGGACTAATAGACCAACAGTTAGAGAACTTCTAAGCATATTTACCAATGAACCAATTGTTTAACCATAGTGGATTTTTATTGAAAAACATTTCAAGATTTAGTATTTGAATATCCGTCAGGTCTATAACCTTGCACTTTTCAAACTTATTTTCTCAAGTACTATCAGTATGTACTGAGTATGTTTTACAGCTCTTTAAAAATGTTTCGATATAACAATATCTTAAGTTTTTTTCATATTCCCCATAATTAAATACTTCACCAAAAATATCCTTTTTAATTCTCTTTGTCTCTCCTCCCTTCTTTTCTACTTTTCAGAAATTTCTTCGGACGCCCAAACCATAATAACTGGCCCCAGTGATTTATATGTGAAAGTTGGCAGTGTCATTACGCTCACCTGCCTCGTAAGCCAACCGTCGATTAAGGATATTGGTCCCATCCATTGGTATCGCGGCGAACATTTACTTATGCCGTTTGCGGCTACAGATGAAACGGCACCACAAAGGAATTACTTTGTCACACCTGCTGCCTTGACAAGTAAATCCGCATCATTCGATCATGCCGCTGTCCCTGGCTCCGCCGCCGCTGCCGCTCTCGATGATGTTGATGTATATGACAATAATGTCGATGATGACGAACACATGTCTACGAATGGGAACAATGAAATAACATTGGATTTCCGGCAACGCGTTGCCATGGAACAGAAGTTGTGCGATACAATAAAATCAAAGTAAGTATGGCTGGGGGGGGGGGGGGGGGGGGGGGGGAATAATGGACAAAATATATGTATAGAAAGAGTGAGGGAGAGAAAGAAAGGAATATTTAAATGGAATTTAATGTGAGGCACGCAAATGAGATGGGTAATTATGTGAGAAAAGAAGAAAGGGAAAATTGAAGGAATTGCCGACATTCTTCATTGAATTTAAGAAAATGTTTTTTAACATTTATAAATATGGAACCAATTTTTAATATACGCCCATAAATATACTGTGAGGGTTTTAGCTTCATTTTTTGAAAAGCAGTTGACATTTCCTGTTTCTAACATTTATTCTAAGAATTTTGTTCCCTTTTCATTTATAAACTAATGTTGGAGTTTCTAAAAACTTGTGAACAATTTTGTAACATTTTATTTTCCTTTTCAGGTTACGGATCTCAAATGCTCAGATATCGGATTCTGGAAATTATACATGCCAGCCAACAACATCAAGCAGTGCCAGTGTGACGGTTCATGTTATTAATGGTAAGTAGAGCATATGACCGCTTATATTTTCTGAATATGCAGGAGGGCAGCAGTTATCCTTTTGGTAACACTGGTTTAAACAGGTCAAACAGGTTTTGTGTTCGGTTTCAATGTCAAGCATCTTCAGTTTGGTCTATAATTTAGCCATGTCTTACAAATTAACAACATTTCAAGATCCTTGAAAAATATGTTTAAATGATACACGTTTATAGTTTCGAAATTAATTTAAAAAATCCAAGTGATTTTTTTAAATAGATTTTTTGAAGGAACTTCTTGTCTATAAACTTGGATTTAAAATTTTTATTTTTTTTTGAAGGACATTGGATTTTTTAATCAGTTTTTTTTTTGGATGACCTTTGAACGTGGATTTTTTAAATATTTTTTTTCGAGGACCTTCTGGTCAATAAACGTGGATTTTTTAATAGATTTTTTCGAAGACCTTCTGGTCTATAGACGTGGATTTTTTAAATGAATTGTTTTTGACGACTATCTGGTCTATAAACGTATAGTTTTTAAATAGATTTTTGCAAGGACCTTAATGCACATAAACGTGGACTTCTTTAATAGATTTTTGCAAGGACCTTAGGGCACATAAACGTGGACTTTTTTAAAAGATTGTTGAGATTATTCAATATGGGTTTATTGGGCTTTTATGGTCAAGTTAATCAAATGAAAATAAACGAATTTATTTCATATTTTGCTCAACGTTTCGTTGGCTTGTTTCCAACTTTTTCAAGAGCGTTTTTTATTGAATTATCAATAATTATGCATTATTTATTTCTTATTAATATTAATAAAACGGGACTCCACAACATTTAATTAATATAAAGTAAAAATAATCAATAAAATAAGAATCACAGTTAAACTTAAGCTAAATCACAGAACCGTTTCTAAATAACCGCAATAAAATACAATATATATTCATAAGATTTAATTTTTTGAAGGGCCTTCTCAAAAACTATCAGAGATTTCTTAAAAATGTTTTCAAACAAATCCTGTTAATACATCGGAGCTCGATTTTTTGTTCTAAATTTCCCTGTTAGAAGCCCCCTTATGTCCAAAACCATATTGGAAGATTTCGCTTTTGAAATTAGGATTTTGACATTTGTCATTTCTGCACTACGTTGGGCTGTTAGTTGTTATAGTCCATTTTATAGCTAAATATAATCCAATGGTCATCCTAGGTCATGCTAGAATTCTTCCCTGTCCTTAACGCTCTTCTCAGGTGTGTCGAATGGCTTCAATTGTGTGATCAGGAAATTTTTTCTGTTTATAGTTCATTTGAACCCCTAATATTTTTCGATCATCTCCAAAAGCAAGGAGCCCCTCGGTATCTCTAAATTTAAACTCATCTATATGATTTGCTTTTCTGCGATATTGGGCGATATTCGTCAACGAAATCAGCATAAAAAAACCAGAAGTTCGCCTTTTGTATATTTCGGATATCGCCTGTAAGTAATGCTGGTATTTTTTTTTTTCACAAAAAATTAGTGGTCCATTGTACCCGCTGTCCTAAACTCTAACTTTATGCGAGATTTCGTGTCCTTTGGTTTCTATTTGTGATCTTTATAACGGCTGCAAAATCAGGAAAATTTTTAGTTGTTGGTCCATTTCAAACCCTAATATATTGCGGACATCTTTGAAAACAATAGGCCTAGCCCCTCTGAGCCCAACCCTACCCTTGTGAAAATTTTCGTGAGGATCGGACGATAATTGCAATCTGTATAGAATAACCCCAACCTGTGTTGTAAGGTGAAAAACTATTACAAAATGTACTCTTCAATATTATAAGTCAAAATGAAAAAATCGCATGCGATAAAAATTATGAAAAAATAAAATAATGTCACAAAATACTACAAAATCTATATTAACATCATAATTGACACCTTTTTATGCGATTTTTTTTAGATTTTATTCTTTTATGCCTAAAGGGCATTTTAAATTGACAAAATTTGTCAAAATCGGTCCAGCCATTCATGAGCTATAGGCATTCTAGCTAACATCCTCTTCCTTTGTATATAAACATTGTATATATTTCGCTATATAAATCCGATATATTCACTGACGGCATCTACGTAACCCTACCTTGTGAAAATTTTCGTGAGGATCGGACGATAGCTGCAATACTTATATGAAATCCCCAACCTGTGTTGTAAGGTGAAAAAAATGAGATAAAAAATGTGAAAATATAAAAAATGTCACAAAATACTACAAAATCTGAATTAACATCATTATTGGCATATTTTTCTGCGATTTTTTTGGATTATATACTTTTATGTCAAGAGGGCATTCTGAATTGACAAAATTTGTCAAAATCGGTCCACACATTCTTGAGATATAAGCATTCTTACTAACATCCCCTTCCTTTGTATCTACACATTTCGTATATTTCGCTATATATATCCGATATATTTACTATCGGCATCTACGTAACGGTCAGAATTGACCTGTTCGTCTATTTGTGATTTCGCCGTCGTTAAAAATATTCGCGGTTTAATGGAAAATTTGACTTTAATTTTACACAAAAGTTATGTTCTATTTCACCCGCTTAATATTACCCGTTTACCATCAAAATTTGAAGACTTCTAGCCACCCCTAAACTCTAGCTACATGCTAACTTCCGCTGCGATTGGTCCTGTAGAGCAACTGCAAAATCAGGATTTTTTTCAGTTTTTGGTTTATTTCAACCCCTAAATATTATTCGATCATCTCCAAAAGCAATAGGGTTCTATTGTGTTCATAACCCCACCTCCATTCCAAATTTCGTAAAAATCGGGCCATAATTGCGACCTGTAGAGTGATTACAAATTACATAGCTAAATCGACTCAGCTCGGCGAGATAGGAAGATCCATATATACTTTCCTATGTGGGAAACCAATATTTCGAGGTGTTATATTATTTTTGGCCCAGTCAAACTTATAAAATCCCCAACACATAGTGTTGTAGGGTATAATGATGGCGTTTGACTTTGTTGCAGTTTTTTTTTATCTCACCCTTTGTATCTATCTATACCTTCGTTCGATTTGCCCTTAATTATGCACAAAGTGTGTAATATTCGCCCAACTACGAAAACAAATTTGATACATACCATCAAATTTAGCGAAGAATCTGATATGTCAAATCATAGCTCCTGTATAAATTCTTCATCTGATTCATTATTTTTGTCCCCTACAGCCATATTACACATTTTATAACAATGATATTCGGGGAATGATATCAAATACAGCTTAAGTCTAGCTTTGCTAAATTTTATCGAAATGGGATCAGATTTGGATATGTCTTCATATATATCTTCATCTGATTTCAAGTTTATTGTGCATAGAATGGTTAATAAAAGCGGAAATTGAATGGATTTTTAAAAATTCGATCGAATTTGGCCTCTCCTCGATTCTTTTTTTAACATAGAAATATTAGAGAATATTAGAAAAGGTTTATCGGGACAAGAAGTCCATTTTTTTAATTTTTTTTATTTTATTTATTTATTTATTTTATTTTTTATTTTTTTTTTTGAGATATTGACAAACATTCATTATTTTTTTTTTTTAAGAAATTTTGTTAGATTTTTTCAGATTTATGACATTTTAATGATTATCCTACTTCTCCAAGTTGGCATATATATTTCTTAAAACTTTTGATTTTCATTCATGACAAAATCTATACAAGTTTGTGTTTTGCACCTCGATGTTATTATTTTTATGTTATTAAAGCAAATAAATAACACTGCATAGAATTACTTGTTATTTTTCCGAACAATTTTATGATTTCATTGTAAAAAAATATTACTTTCTGTGCTACTGATTGCTCACTTTTTATGCTCCTAATGATTGAACTTTTATTGAATTCCTCTTGTTTTCGTTCTCTTCTCCTATTTTTTTTTTTTTTTCAGATGAAAATCCTGCTGCCATGCAAAAGGGCGGAACAGCCAGCGGGAGTAGCTTATGAGCTGCTGGTGTTGTTGTATACTTTATCCTGGCTAGTTGGCACATCGTAGTGCAACTTGGTAAACATTATCGGCATCAGCTGTAGCATTGACTCGACTCGGTCTCGGTCGGCAGTGGATGCTCAGGATAGTATACAACAACATCAGCAGCAGCAAAAACAACAGCAACAACATCAGCACTTATAATAAGTAAATATATATAGAAAAAAACGTATAATAAGATTTACAAAAATAGACAAACTGAAATTCTACAACCAATTAAATATCAGATTTCATCGGACAACAAACGAGAGAAGAGCAGCGTAGAGAGGCATCACAAAGCATTTTTTGGAATGCCAATAAATTCTGCATTTTAGAAAAAGAACAACTTAAATCAGATTGTATTGTTCCAGTATCATTTGTAAATAAATAATTATAAATATAAATAATTATAAATAAGTCACCTAATTTAGAATAAACAATAACAGAAAATTTATTATTACTATATTATAACTGTAATACCTAATTATTAGTTTTATCTATTTAAAGAAACCAAATAAGAAGGAGAAAAAAACAAGAAAACAAAATAACCAACAATAAAAACGTCCCCCCACATATGAGAGAAGAAGAGATACATTTTATTGTTATTATTGTTAGTAATTAATAAGAGGAAAATAATTATAATAATAATAATGATGGTAAGGAGAAAATTAAAAAACGGAACTACCATGTATATGGATGTATGTATGAAAATTGCAATCGAATCTTGGCAAGCCGACAGTTGTGGGAAAGAATATTTTTGGGAGATTTTATTTACAAAATTGAAGGATGTGTATCAGATTTAAGATATGTGTATTTAAAAAAAAAAATACGTTTTGGAGGTTTTTAAATATTTGAAATACATTAATTGAATATAATGGTATTATTTTTCTAAAATACAGGCGCCTTTTTTCACAAAAAATTAAAAATTAATTATATAGGTTAGCCTTATATATTATCCAAAATATAAAAAAGTGCAAAAGGGACAAAAATGAAATTTTTAAAAATTCTTAAATTTCTTTGATTGAGGGTTTTTCCGGACCTCCTGAAAGTAGATCGTGGATATAAAAAAACACAAATTCCTTAGTCCATTTTTTTGTCGTAATTTTTTTAAAAGCAGGTGTCAAAAATTTGTTTTTCAAAAAACATGGACTTTTCTATTAATTTTTTAAGTATTTTTTGAGGAATTGTGAATCTTTTTCAAATTCTAAAGGTTTTTTCTAGGATTTACTTCCAGGAATCATGGATATATTTAGAAATATGTTTCAAGGACTTTATGGGATTAGTGGATTTTTTAAATATATTTTTCAATGACTTCCTCTGTGGCATTCGTGGATTTTTAAAAAATAGTTTTCAATGACTTCCTCTGAGGCATTCGTGGATTTTTAAAAAATAGTTTTCAATGACTTCCTCTGTGGCATTCGTGGATTTTTAAAAAATAGTTTTCAATGACTTCCTCTGTGGCATTCGTGGATTTTTAAAAAATAGTTTTCAATGACTTCCTTTTTGGGATTCGTGTTTTTTTTTTTTTAATTTAACAAATTTTAAATACACATTTTTAGAAAATCGATAGGGAAAATGTAGTCAAGGCCTTCGAAATAAGTAAAATCAGAAGATACTTTTATATGAGTGCAACTCCGAAAAAATTTAACATTTCTGCGAAGAAGTTTTACAGGAATAGTGGATTTAAAAAGATATATATATTCAAGAACTATAATCGTTAATTTTTTCGAAAACACTTTTTAAGGACTACGTGGGTGGAAGTTTTGGAGTTAAAAAAAAAACATTTTAAGATCCTCCTAATCAGGAATTGCTAGTTTAAAAAATGCTTTCAACGATTTTCTCCTCGTATTTTGTGGGCTTTTTAAAACACTTCAAAGGAAACTTTTTGAGCGAAAAATGTAAGGGAATTGGGGATTTTTTTAAAAATATATTTTAATTGAACTACCTTGGGTCGAACCATAGATATTGCAAATTTTTTTTATATTTTGGAATGACAGGATACGTGAAATTTATTAATATTTTTACGGGTATTCTCGGCAATATAAAAACAGAAACATTTCTTGGTTTTGCAGTCGCCAATTAAAGACCAATCGAAGCAAACAATTGCGGGGGAAAAGGGACCGGGTGTGTTTAGAGGTTGAAATAGTCCCTTTTGAAGACTCTTTTTTGGGTTATCGTGGATCATTAAAAACCATTTTCTTGGTGGAGTCCTGGACTTTTAAAATTTGTATCCTGGATAAAAATAGAAGATCAGAAATAACGAGCAGGAATCTTGTCTTAAAAATATTTTTATGGAATTCGTGGCGAAATATATTGAACTAAATTTAAAAATATGTTGAAAAGCATTGAGGGATTAATTTTTTTTTAGAATACTTCTCAAGGACTTCCTATTGAAGAAATCGAAAATACTTTTCAAAGAATCTCCGATGGGAGTTGTATTTTTAATAGATCTTAATGAACTCGAAAGTTTTACAATATACTCTACATTTTCTTTAAAACAATTTCGATTTTCAATAATTTTCTCTAACGTCACCTGCCAAGAAATTTCAAAGAACCCCCGAAATTTGTTTTAGGACATTTGGAGTCGATTTAAGGGTGTCAGCCCGTCTGGCTTGCTGGCTGGTGCGCACGTTAACTCTCGAAGGCAGTATCCGATTTGGTCTAAACTTTTTACATCGTAGAATTATTACTAAACTTAAAATGAGCTCGGAGATGGGTGATATTGGCCTACTCCATCAAGTACCTCCTCCACAAAGGGTCAACATTTTGAATAATTACAACTCTAATAAAATGCGAAATAAAAGTCCGATTGTTTCCAAATTACACACATTCTGATATTTTTACCAGCACAAAATCTGGTGTAAAGATGGGCTATATCAGTCAACTCCTTCTGGTACCTGCCCCACAAAGCGTTAAAATTTTAAATAATTATAACTCCTATAATATTTGAAATAAAATTGAAAATAAATGTTAAATTCTCTTTTAATTTGGACATCTTAATATTTCTATTAACATTAGATGAAGCAGCTAACTTCGGTTCACTATACGCAATTCATCACACACATTTCAAACTTTTTGAAAAATTATAAAATATCATCATATAAAGTTTATGAAGTGGTCGATATGGTATAAGTCTGACATTGGCTGAGGGTATTCAACTGTCGACAATACCGACTGATTCTTTTTAACTTGCTCAAAAAATTATTCAACTTATGAAAATAAACATTCAAATGTATCGTAACATCAAATATTTAATTTTTTAACAATATTATTATGGTGGGTTTCTAATAAATTCAATAAGTTTCAAGGACCTCCTGGCGAAAAACGGATATCTTATAAGAACATTCTGAAAAAAAAAAATAAAAATTTAATTGTTACAATATTATTCATGGACCTCCAAAAAAAAATTCTTTCGTTTCATATATTGTTAATATCAATTCGATAATCGCGGGCAGTATTACGGTATTTTAAGATCCTTATAACAACATACTTCAACGTCAAAAATTCTTTAAAAATTCTATTACATTTGACCCCATTATCTCGACTTTTTCGGTATACCCAGGAAAGATATCACGTCTTTATTTGTGGAGTTGTGCCAATCTAGTTCGATCGAACGAACGAGTTCTTTGTCTAGTTGGATGGACTTGGATGGACTCCGGTCGTTTGTATGAAAACTTTGCGAATGAGTAATATGAAATATACGATATTCATGAAATCACTCATACATTTATGAACTGGTGTACTGAACTATAAACTAGATTGACACAACTGTATTTATGTGTTATAATTTAAGTTAATCCTCAATATAATATCTTCCTAAAATTATTTTATACCGGTAATTTATTAAATTATATTTTTAACATATACTTTCCACAACTCTTGCCAAGCTTCGAATAATTTACAATTAATGTAAACATGCATATAACTATATAATACATATTTATACATATATGCATAATATCAGATAAGGACTTCAAAGAAAAAAATATGAAAAACAAAAACCATTTAAGTAGAATGCAGTTAGCATGCTAATAAACCATTACCAATTAAGTTTCATTTGAAAAATTTCCAATATGCTGAAATTTGCTTACCAAAAAGAAAATCTTTGTTAAAACACTACCATATTGTTATGAATTATAAAATTAAATATTATTATGTTAAAAATCGTTTAATTAAAATTTTAATGAAAAATTAAATAATTTGTTAAAAATAAATATAATTTATTATTTTATTTTATTGAAAATGGTAATGAATTCCGGAATATTCTGATGCTGTTTTATAATAATTATGTGAACAAATTAAGGAAAATTGTAATCCTACTTTCCGTTTGGGATGTGGGAAATATCTCAACAAGAATTTTAAATTATATGACAAAATTGGAAAACAAAGCTTAGCTGAGATGAATTTCCCTGGAATTTATATATTCTTTATATAAAAAATATTTATTTTAAATGATATCATAATTTGTTAATTACCATAAATAATTTTAAATAACTCACATTATATAAAAGAGTATTGTACAAAATTTGTTAAACCAAATTAGAAATTAGATTTAAACCCATTTCGTTTAGTAGCTTTTTGACAAATTAAAATTCAAACACACCCAATAATTACAAATCACCATTTTCATACATCACCCCCCAAAACAGCAAGCCATCACCATCATCATCGTCATTGAGGGAAAATAAAATGCATACCCACTTACCCACACACAAACGCAAAAAAAAACAATTAACCACTCATTTACAACTGATATATACGGCTTGTATTATTTCCATGAAATAGTTAATTAAATTCTGGTCACAACCTTTTGCGCCAATGTATCCACAAACTACTTACCTCCATACACGCCCCCCGTACTCGTCAAGAATATTTTAGTTTTGTAAATACAGAGAAATCTCTTCGAACCACAACAACAACAACAACAAAATAACAAATAAATAAAACCATTCAAGAGTGTGATATACAGAGAGAAGTAAAACAAAAAAAAAAAAAAACAAATCAATAAATATTTGCAAAAATAATTTAAATTTATTACAATGTGTGTTTTATTGTTAAACGGATGGGATGGTAATACGGAATGTGTTATTTGCTATGGAATATTGAAATATTAAAACCAGTAAGGAAAGCTCAAAAGTCGGGCGGGGCCGACTATATGATACCCTACACCACTATGCATATATAGTTGAGCTCTCGTAAAAAGGTTTATACACTATAGCTATCTCTGAACCGGGTTTCTCCAAATTTGACGTATTAGCTTCTAGACTGAATTCTTATGTACGAAAATTAATGTGATTTGGGCTGATATTGGCCATTTGTTGCACAATTAACACGAAATCGGATGAAGATACATGTGGGTGCTATATCCAAATCTGAACAGATTTTGATAAAATTAAAATCGACTACTTTTGGGCTTTATCTGATATCTGGTA